ACTGAATCAAAATTTTCACATATAGATAATAGAGATTAAACCCTTAAATGAGTTTAGCTACTCATTTTTATTGAGTTAAACATGAGAGCAACAAAGTACAAAAGATCAGTCATGATTGAGATCAAAAGGTTAGAGGATAGAAGGGAAATATGGTAGCTGAGCAGATTTTGTCTGCTCTGTGAAGTGGCAGTCTGCACTCTTTGCTCCTGCTACTACTCTGGTTCTACTCAACTAACTTAACTAACTAAACTGTCTTTCAACTGATTCTAACTACCCAATCTGTTGTTATTATAACTGCTATTGGCTGACTATTTATAGAGATTTGGAGAGGCTTGGATTGGTTGAAATCTGGTCTTCTTCTCTGCAGCAGAAAGGTGATGCAGCAACTTGCAGCTATTGAGATTTGTTTATTCAGCAACTTGCCCAATTGGTAAGCTGATGTCTTCTTCTTTGGCTGCTCCTTCTCTTCAGCCGTAATCAGCCACCGTCTTTTCATCATTGCCTTCTCTTCTTAGCGTTCTTCTTCAGCTAAAGTTCTCCAATTTTTAGCCACAAATCTCCATTTATTCTTTTTTAATATTCAGCAGTACAACTAGCAGCAACAGGAAGCAGCAACATCAGCAGCATGCTTCCTTCCATCATTGTGATTTAGCCCCCAATTCATCCTCAGTCTTCTGCCCTTTTTCTTCATTTTTTCTTGGGATCACTTGCAGCACCATTGCTCACCTGTCTGTAGCAGCCAACCTATTAGTTCAGCAGCAGCAGTATCAGCAGCTTTGTAGCAGAGTTGCAGCTGTTGTTTTCTACATATTCTCCCTCTTTCTCTTCTTCAACTTGCAGCAGAAACAACTTGCAGTGATGGTAAAGTAACTCCTTCCTTGGGCAGCAAGATTTCAGCTAGAGACTCCTCCTGATTGACAGCACCAACAGCTTTTGCACCAGCAACTTGGCAACAGAGCGGATGCCAATTCTTCTTCCTCAATTGAGTTTGCTGCTGTAGAGTTCTTCCAGTTTAGATCATCTGCCATCAATCCTCATCCTTCAGCAAAGATTCCTCCACTTGCTTCAGCTCTGATCATTCCTCCAGCCCTTGATTTCAAGTAGCTTCCAATTTGGTCCTTTTTGATGCCATTTTATGTAATTTTGCCCCAATTTATGCTGATATTCCACATTGGCCCTCTGATCACTATGAAATACAAAATTGACCTAAAATTAAACTAATTCTATCTAATTGACACCTAATTATAAGTAAAACTGAGTAGAAAATGCCTGCTAAAATGGTATATATTTTAGTGTTATCAATAAGTACTTTCACTTTATAATTGAACAACCAATGTAGCTATGATATTGTTGAGTTCAAGTTGGTAGGCTTTTATTTATTAAAAATTATCATTCTCAAGCTCACAATTTAAGAAGACACATGGAAAAAAAATTGACAGTTGGACCAAGAAAAATAATACTTCTTCCGTCCAAGAAAAATAAATCATTTAATTGTATTATATCAGTTCAATATAAGGAATTATTATTATTAGGAGAGAGAAAATAAATATTAAAAGGACATGAGATCTAGTCAATATATATAGGCATTGATTGTGTATGCCTTGCCAATTGTGAAACAAGTTAATGTAGATTTGCCTAGATACTAGGACAACAATATCATGATATGTTCTACTTTGTTCGCTGAGATTAACATAAAGGTGAGAGATTTTATACCCAAAATATTAAAAATTTATGTGATCCACTTAAAGATACAGTGCAATAAAAAGAAGATCAAGAGTCTAATGAACATCAAGTTTTCAATTGTGAGTATTAAAAGGTTAGGTGGAGTGAAACTGCCTTAAATGTTGAAACAAAATACAAATAAGGTGTTGAAGAGGTGGAGGTACTGGCTAGTGAAAAGGAACATTTGCCACTATAGTTGCTAGTATTTTTATTTTTTTCATACTAAGTGCATAGCACATATTAATTGGCACCGCGCCGGGTTGGTCTCTTTTTGGAGGTAAAGTTCTCCCAACATTGCTCTTTCTATTTAGGAGACTCAAATCCGAGACATCGCTTAAGGGAACAAAAGCAGGTACCACAGTGGCATTTTCTAAAATATATACACTTTTAGCTGGCATTTTCTACTCATATTTACTTAGAATTAGGTGTCAATTAGATAGAATTAGTTTACTTTAGATTGATTTTGCATTTCAGGATGATCAGAGGGCAAAAGTAGAATATCAATATAAATTGGGGCCAAATTGCACAGAAGAGCATAAAAAACGCCCAAATTGGAAGCTGCTGGAAATCAAGGGCTGGAAGGATCGATCAGAGCTGAGCAAGTGGAGGAATCCTTGCTGAAGAAGGAAGATTAATAGTAGATGATCTCAAGTTGATGAACTCCGCAGCAGCAAACTCCATTGAGGAAGAAGAAATGGCAGCTATTCTGCTGCCAAGTTGCTGCTGCAGTTGCTGTTACTGCTGTCAATCAGGAGGAGCCAAGAGCTGAAATCTTGCTGCCAAAGCAAGGAATTGCTTCACCATCACTGCAAGTTGTTGTTGCTGCAAGTGGAAGTAGAAAAAGAGGGAGAATATGAAGAAAACATGAGCTGCAACTCTGCTACTTACCATCTGCTGCTGCTGCTGCTGCTGGCTGAAGTGAAAGATTGGCTGCTGCAGGAATGTGAGAAATGGTACTGCAAGTGATCTTGGGAGACAAGGAAGGAAAGAGCAGAAGATTGAGGCTGAATCGGGGGCTGGAAAAGGAAGAAACATAATGGCGGAAGAAAGCATGCTACTGATGCTGCTGCTTGCTGCTGCTGCTAGTTGTGCTGCTAAAGATTAAATAATGAAAGAATGGAGATGTGTGGCTGAAATTGGAAAGGATGCGCCGGAGAAGAAGTCTAAGAAAAGGAATAAATGATGAGTGGAAGGTTCCTGATTGCGGCTGAAGAAGAAAGGAGCAGCCAAAGAGAAGACAGCAACATGTCAATTGGGCAAGTTGTTGAATAAACAAATCCTTCAGCTGCTGCAAGTTGCTGCCTCCACCAATCTGCTACAGAGAAGAAGGCTAGAACTCAACCAATACAAGGTTCTCCAATTCTCTATAAATAGTCAGCCAATAGAAATTAGAAAACAACAGATTGGATAGTTAGAATCAGTCCAAAGGCAGTTTAGTAGTTAAATTAGTTGGGTAGAAATAGGATAGTAGCAGAAGCAAAGAGTGCAGACTGTTAATCTTTCAAGTGGCGAAGACCACTCACCAAAGTGAGTAGATAGAACCTACCTTGCTACCACTTTTCCCTTCTATCCTCTAACTTTTTGATCTTAATCATGACTGATCATTTGTACTTTGTTGCTCTCATGTTTAACCCAATAAACATGATTAGCTAAACTCAGTTAAGGGTCTAATCCTACTATTTATATGTGAAGGTTTTGATTCAATTTCGTATATAAGGCATTGTTTCTAGTCAAATGTTTAAATTAACTTTTTTAATTAAACTGACCATGTAATTGATTGTCGATGCATAGTTATGGAGATTTGAGAGGGGGAACATAACTTTAGAATGGTTTAAACTAGTCTATGACAAAGGAAGAAATTTACTCTTTGGTTTCAATAATCAACAACAGTCAGGTGCATTGGCATAGGTGATCAATAATGCTTAAGAACTCAATGGCTCAGATTAATGAATTATTCTGACTAAGAGGTAGGTAATGTGATTAATCTGGGACTCTTGAGTCTGTCTAAAAGGAATTGTAATGAATACAAGTGCCTGATCAAACAATAAATCATATGCAACAAGAACTAAAATGGATCAAAACCAAATCATATAGTTAGGAAGGTGATTGACCCTTCTGCTTTTTCACTTTGTCAAGTTACTATTCTCACTCTCTCGAGTGATAAATCTGTACAGCTTGTTTTCATTTGTTTGCACATTAATCAGATTTTAAGCGGTTAACGGCTGTCTCCGTAGAACGATCCCGCTTACCACTAGCTAATAGTTTTAAGTAGGTATTATTTTCTTTTGGGAGTGTCAACAACCCATTCACCACTAGTATATACTTCCTCTTGGCCAAAACTATTATCCAGATTGGATTTTCACTTTTAATTCAATTTGTACTAAAACTAAAATTTCAAACTAGGCTATAATTTCAGAGATAATTTAGTAATTTTCATTTATGCGATTAGGGTTTATTTTATAGTTTTCCTTTTTTCTTGGTTTAATCTACTAATGCCTCCAAGGCGCAATAAACATAGAAAGGATGGCTTGTTGGAGAGATTTGATCAATTGCCCCCCAATATTACTCAGCCACATAGCCGGACAAGAAAGCGATCCAACAAGCCGAGGTCAAATTCGCACCAGTGTTGTAGAGATTATTCCCTTGAGAACCCGCAACAACATTATCAGAAGGTTAAGACAGAAGTCGATACTCAACCTGGGAAAACAAACATGCCTACAAAGGTCCTGACCTTTCATGGGACTGGAATACCAAAAGAACTTATTATATGGTTGATGAAGGAGGAAAAATTTTTATATCTTAATCGCATTCCCGATGAAAACCGAGTCAAGCTGGTTGCGAATTTATTCCGTGATCGTGCTTCAGCTTGATGGACACAACTCAAGTTGGACCGTAGTCGTCTCGGGAAGAAGAAAATCCGCTCTTGGTCGAAAATGAAGAGGGAGCTTCGGGATGAATTCTTGCCACCACATTTTTAGCATATTTTCTATTCCCGACTTCAAAATCTTCAACAAGGGAAGTGCGATCTCAAAAGGAAGCTGCAAGTTCATGGAGAAAATTATGGCACCCGTGCACACCTGCCGTAGAATTGCTCCATAAAGGATGGCTCTAAGGAGTTGTATCATCATGGAAAGCAAAGCGCCGCATCATCTTAGCACCATTCTGAAGCTACCGTTGTCGACACCACTTTAACGGATTCTCACACAATTTAAGTTTCACAAAGCGGCATTGGGCTGCAACACCGTTGCAGGCTGGGGGTTGAAACAACTCAACCACTCATGAAGGTGAGTTGCCGTTCCAAAAGTCGATGGTTTCCTAATCTTGCAAAATGCAAAATTTGTCCAACTGGTCATTTTGATTACCAGACAAGACAATGCGATCCAGCACATGTTGGGATGACTGTAGAGTTCTTCATCAATTCCATTGTTATTGTCGAGCAGGACACCATTGTTGATGTCATTGAGGACTTCGGCTTCGCTGTCGACGATACTTCCTCCAATACCGACGACCCAAAGCTTTGTTTTTTGCATACGACTTACGAAGATAAATGGTCGTGGGAGAACAGAATTTTCTCTCCTCCTTCGGATAATGATCCCTGGGAGGATAACCATGTTGATTGGAGCACTCCACCCATATTTGATATTGACGAAACTTAGATCTGCACGGTGCTTAGGGTGGGCAGCAATGATGATCTATGCGGCAGCGGACGGCCTAAAACCTACAAGCCAGAGCCTCGAGTGTCTTCTGAGGGTAGACTCTTTAATGCTTAAGTCAAAAAAGGAATAGAGAGAATAGAGAGAGAGGTAAAAGTTATCGAGTGGAAGATATGTAGAAGATGGGTAGAAGATACGAATTTTGAGAGAGGCACCACCTCTTTATATAGAGGTGGTGTTACCTGTTTTCTGAAACTCTGGCAGAATAGGTTTAGGCGGTGACTTAATCTCCAAGTAACATAATCCTAGGCCCAATAGGCCTAGGGCTCAGTTTAGGCTCGTCAAGTACCCTTAGCGAGCCATATTCTCGAGGTTCGCCTGTGTTCGAGCCATATAAGATAAAGAGAATAAAGTGGCTTGAAGAGGTCTTTGTATTAGTGAGTTCCTGATTAGGAAGGGGAAGCCTGTGTACGCTGAATTCGTATGATGGCGCCTATATTCTCTTATTTGAAGGTGAGAAGCCTATATTTGCCTGTCGTGCAGGTCTTGTGGTTGTGCCCATCTTGTGGGTCTTATTAGGCAGTTGTCCATCTAGCGGGTCTTTGTCTTTGTGGGTCGTGCCCGTCAAGCAGGTCTTATTTAAACTAGGTGCCCGTTTAGCAGGTCTTTTGATTCCTTTCTGATGCGGGGTAGTCCCCAATGCCTGATTTGAAGGGTGGCCCCTATATATTTGGATGCTCAACTATTCAATATAATGTGATGTATGTATCAAAAAAATATTATCATATGATATAAGTAATATGTTTATTACAAGAATTATGATATCAATGATATATGAACTTATGTTCGAGAAGCATATAATAATGACAAGGCTTGAGCAGTACCTCTTTCTTGAAATCAATTGATTACTCGAGAAAGTGTTGCCTCGATTTTGAAAAAGTAGTTGTTGAGTAGATGAAAGTCGAGATATATCTTCTCGAACACTTCGAGTAGTAGTAAGGTGCTCGATGAATAGTTGCCCCTTCTAGGAGATGTATCTCTCGAAACTCAATCTTCGAGATTCTCCCTTGCTAATCTGCAAAATTTTAAAACCTTTAGAGACCAGATTATAATAATTAAAATTATTTGGGATTAACAAAAATTCTCAAATTGGGAAATTGTTTTCCGGTGAATATTCTGTTCCTTTCGACGTATTTGGAACTTCAGGGACTATTTTGCAAAATAGAAAAGTTTTGGGGTCAAAATTATCAAAGTTGGAAACTTAAAGGACCACTCTGCATTTTTTTGAAACTGTAGAATTCCCTCTTGATCAGCGTGGAGCAAGTGTGGCTCCTTGAATTCTTTGTGCAGTCGAAAGCTTCTTTGTACTACTTGTTGGTTGACGTCTTCTTGGCCAAACAAAGATAATTTTTGGCCTGATCTTCTAGTTGCAAACTCGAAGCAACGAGTTAACATCGTGGCTGTCCAAAGACACCAAAAATTCCGTGCTTTCCTAAGAAATTTATTTGGTTGTGAAGACCAAATAAATCGGTCCCACCGAGCGTGCCACGTGACGAAGCATGGATCTGCATGGTGCTTAAGGAGGGCGGCGATGATGATCTTGCAGCGGGGGACGGCCTAAAACCTGCAAGACAAAGTCTCGGTTCTCTCACGAGAGTGGACTCTTCAATGCTTAAGTCAATAAAGGAATAGAGAGAATAGAAAGAGAGGTAGAAGTTATTATGTGTAGATATGTAGAAGATGGGTAGAATATATGAATTATGAGAGAGGCACCACCTCTTTATATAGAGGTGGTGTTATCTGTTTCCTGAAATTTTGGCGGAATAGGTTTAAGCGGTGGCTTAATCTCCAAGTAACCTAATCCTAGGCCCAATAGGGCTAGGGTTCAGCTTGGACTCGTCAAGCGCCCCTAGCAAGCCATATTCTCGAGGTTCACCGAGAAGAATATGGGTTGCTACGAGTGTTGATGTCTTCTCGAGTTTCGTGGTGTTGCCTCAGTTCTCGAACTCTTTCGTTTTCGGGTTTCAACTATATAAGATAGAGAGAATAAATTGACTCGAGGAGGTCTTTGTATTAGTGAGTTCCTGATTAGGAGGGGGGAGCCTATGTACGCCGAATTTGTATGATGGCGCCTATATTCTCTTATTTGAAGGTGAGAAGCCTATATTTGCCTATCGTGCAGGTCTTGCGGCTGTGCCCATCTTGTAGGTCTTATTTGGCAGTTGTCCATCTAAGTAGTTATTGAGTAGATAAAAGTCGAGATATATCTTCTCGAATACTTCGATTAGTAGTAACGTGCTCGAGGGATAGTTGCCCCTTCGAGGAGATGTATCTCTCGTAGCTCGAGATTGTCCCTTTCTAATCTGCAAAATTTTAAAACCTTTAGAGACCAAATTATAATAATTAAAATTATTAGGTATTAACAAAAATTCTCAAATTGGGAAACTATTTTTGAAGTGAATATTCTGTTCCTTTTGGCGGATTTTGAACTCCGGGGACTATTCTGCAAAATAGAAAAGTTTTGGTGTCAAAATTATCAAATTTGGAAACTTGAAGGACCACTCCATTTTTTTGAAACTGTAGAATTCCTTCTTGATCAGCGTGGAGCAAGTGCGGCTCCTTAAATTCATTGTGCAGTCGAAAGCTTCTTTGTGCTACTTGTTGGCTGACGTCTTCTTAGCCAAACAAAGATAATTTTTGGCGTGATCTTCTAGTTGCAAAATCGGAGCAACGAGTTAACATCGTGGCTGTCCAAAGACACCAAAAATTCTGTGCTTTGCTAAGAAACTTATTTGGTTGTGAAGACCAAACAAATCAGTCCCACCGACCGTGCCACTTGAGGAAGCATATATCTGAACGGTGCTTAGAGAGGGCGGCGATGATCATCTATGCGGCAGCGGACGGCCTAAAACCTGCAAAACAGAGTCTCAGGGGTCTCCCGAGGGTAGACTCTTCGATTCTTAAGTCAATAAAAGAATAGAGAGAATAGGGAGAGATGTAGAAGTTATCGTGTGTAAGATATGTAGATGATGGGTAGAAGATATGAATTATGAGAGAGGCACCACCTCTTTATATAGATGTGGTGTTACCTGTTTTCTTGAAACCCTGACAGAATAGATTTAGGCAGTGAGTTAATCTCCAAGTAGTCTAATCCTAGGCCCAATAAGTCTAGGGTTCAATTTGGACTCGTCAGATATCTATCCGGATGTATGTGAAACTTCAGAAATAGATGAGTTCAACTTTTGTGTTGGCGATGTAGTAATGAAAGATGTGAAACTTGAGCATAAAAACGATGTTGAGCAGTTCTTTCCTAATACGCAGAATGTCACCCAGTCAAACTCATTTTCCAGCACCTTGGTATTGCAAGATAATGCTTACAGACAGACATGTTCTCTGCTTGCATAATATGCAAAAGGATGCTTCTTGAAGGGAGGAAGTCCGCTTTAATTTTGAAGACATCACATTTGCTGATGTTCCTTTTCCTCATGTTTTGGTCTTCCCCCACCAAACTTTCTTGGCACGTGATTTTCCAAGGTTGTGGTATCGACTTTTTCTCAATCGTTAGGGTTCTTTGCTCCTCAAAGGTGTTCTTCACTATGAAGAACGGATAAGCAACATTTTTTCTTCTTGGAAGAGGCCACATATAATGCCACGGCAATAGTTAGCCACATTTCCTTTTGATCGAGGCAAACTTCTACTAGTCACATTTCCTTTTGATCAAGGAAAACTTCTACTTAATCTCGAGGACAAGTTTTTTCTCACCCGGAGCGAATGATGGAGAGTTCGGAGTAATGATAGATTAGAGTTTTTTCGTATTGTTTAGGGATAATTTAGTAATTTTAATTTATGCGGTTAGGGTTTATTTTATAGTTTTCCTATTTAAAAATTTTGGCCTCTTCATTGTAAAAGAGTTGTTGATTTTATAAAAAGTTGAGAGTTATCTCAGAAAATCTCAATGTGTGTTGAACTTTTGTCTTTATTTCCAAATATTCTCAGAATCAACGGATCTAGGAAGGTTGTATTTCCGAGTATTTACAGAATCAACGGATCTACAACGGTTACTTGTTAGGATTTAAGATAGAGGCTTCCGCTGACTACATTAAAAGGAGTACTTTATACGATATAGGGATTTAGAGGAATTAAAGGAAGTTTTGCTATAAATCAAAGCCAACAGCGGTGTATATTCTAGAGACATAAGTAAAGTGGAGAATCATATTTAGCTGTAGAAAGCTACTACTTAGAAAATGTGCGCTCGATAGGAAAGTTAGGGATCGATCTTTTTTTTGTTTTGGGTTTAAGAAAAAAAATAACCCTGAAAATGTGTTTTTGAAGAATAGCATTAAGTTTAATTGAGATGATCAATATATTTACGTTTTACCGCAAAAAAGAAAAAGATGAAGGTACGCATATTAATAATTGCTATGTCAAGAATAAGTAGGTGTTTAGAGTTGGTTGAAAAACCTTTTCTTTTCAAAAAAGGAGTTTACCTGATCTAAACAGGAATAGTTTGAACGTGACAGGTCAAATAATTTTTTCTCTCTTTGTAAAAAAGGAAAAAAGAAAAAACCTTCTACTCAATATCGCATCAGTTATTAAATGGGAATTAATGCTAAAATGATAAAATGTACAGCATTTTTGCATTGATAAAAGAACTTTTTGATATCACATCAGATTTAAAATAATTAATACGTGACTAAGATGTGCACTAATGTTGAAACGCAATGCTGGCCAATTAGTTGGGAAGAAACATAGCTAACTCGCCGAGAATAACAATGTTGGCGCACTACTCTAATTACAAATACTTTCATATTTTTCCTGCATTAATTAACAAACAAGAGGGAATTTCTATCTTTTTTTTTGGGTAGTCAGCAAATTAAAGGATTTCTGACACTTTTAATGTTGCACTGGCACATCCTATAATTACTTACTACAGCTTAAGATCTATCTAATTTCTTATTTATTATGACCTTCTGACGGTTTCCTTTTCAATATGTTATAGTGTC